ATGCAGCAGCAATTTGCTTTGGACTGGAATGGACACAGTGCCAAGGAAAAACTTGGGGGGCCTATGCGTGTGCTGGAAGATGCCCCCAGTGGTTGGGTGATGGCAAGGCCAGCCCTGGGATCCCCCCGGCCCTGCCGCATTTCCATTGTACGGATCATGGGCCTAAGAATTGTGAGGGCAATGGGCCCTTTCACATTAACCCTGCCGTGTTCGGAGCAGGAGGGGATCCTTTTAAACAGTGAGTTTTTTGGAGTTTCTGTATTGGGAGTTATACTAAAATATAAAAATTTCCTACCTATTTCAGAATGGATGAAGTTCTAAGTGCCAAGATGTTCTTGGAGGTCTTCTCGGTGGAGTTCTTAGTGTCAGATCCCAAACATCTCAGCTCATCAAGGATGGTGATTGGAACAACGGTCAGAGTCAAAGGATCACGTCAAAAGAAATTCATTATTTCTAAAGCTGGAGATTTTGTTTGGCTTGTAGGGGAGGGGGGTTTAGACTTCGTGCACATCAGGAATCTTGTCAGGTTTTAAAGAAAAAGGGGGTGTTTTTGTTTAACCCCTTGTTTCATAGTATTTGTACAAATTTTTGTGTGATATCTTGTATAATTTTGTATATATGTGGGTGGAGGGAAGAGTTGGGATTCGGGGATGTCAATAAACAAGTTTTTTTTGAATTTTTAAGCAAACTGGCTTCTTAATTCATCTCAATTGATCCAGCATTCTTGTTTCTAGGACTCACACAAAGCCATCCCCCTTTTGCACCCATCTCTGGGTCTTTTTAACCGACAACCTCCCCCTTTTTTGGTGTGCCCATTTCTGGGTTTTTATTGTAAGAAATTGTAAAGATTTGTCAATTCAAAAAAGTTTCAACTGGACAAGGCGTGGGAGGGACCATAAGTAAAGACGAGGTGAATTTCCCCCCGTTAAATGAGTCATTTATTTGACAGAAAGATGTCTCTAAGTCCAGGGAAGTTACCTCCTTTGGCAGATGATATGGGGATAGATCAGGGATTTTTGGTAGGATAAAGCTGTTTACACTTTTCACAATTTTTCACAATATTCTTGGCCAATGTTCGGGCCCTCTTGACTCGAAAGGTTTGTTGGATAAAATTAAGGGAAGAATAAGGGGATGGGTGACCCATGTTTTGATGACATATATTAAGAAGTGACCACACAGGGCCCGAGGGTTTTCCCAGGTTTGGGGAAGGTAGGTTGCCCTCTTGACTCGAAAGGTTTGTTGGATAAAATTAAGGGAAGAATAAGGGGATGGGTGACCCATGTTCTGATGACATATATTAAGAAGTGACCACACAGGGCCCAAGGGTTTTCCCAGGTTTGGGGAGGGTAAGTAAATACGTATTTTCTTGGCAACATCTTCTTTTGGAGTGTTACCAAGTTTTGGTCTTGGGTGAAAGTTAAGAGATAAAATGACATTAAATTTTTTACACCAGTAGAGATCTGGCTTAGTTGATATGGATCCCCCCTGTCTCAGGGTTAGATACTCGGTAAGACAGAGGGATTCTTGAATTGACCTAACTTTTGTAAAGAGATTTTCTAGAAGTTTTAATGACTGAGTATGAGATTCGAAGGCCTCAGACATGAACTGATGTACTTCAAGAGCGTCAGTATCCAGAATTTGGATTCCCGGTTTTCGGGCTGCCGGACTTGTGGTCCTCATCATTTTGTTTTTAGATAAAGAACACAATACACACTGAGTTATAAGGTTTGAAAGAGGTTTATGAAAGAATTTTTTAGAAAAGAACACTAGGGTGTACAGAAGGCACTGGATAAGGAAAAAGTAAGTGGATAGTTTTTTTTTTGATGCTTGATAAAGGTTTCTAAAGGCTTCAAAAGAACGTAAAATAAAGAAACAGATCACGTAGGAAAAGCAGCACACAGACTTGATTAGAGAAAAAGAGTTTTCTTTTTTTGAAAACGATGCTACAAATTTTAATTTTGAGGAGAGGATAAAGATCCGATCGGAACTAGGAGGTCACAAGTTTATTTTGAATTTTTAGAGGCGCAGTGGAAGCAAAGATATTTTTTTTTTACGTAGACAAAACCACGCTCTGCTACCAGTTTTTTGTACGGTTTTATGTGAAAAGAGAAATAAATTAGAGCAAGCCGTACACCTTGCAAGTACTGTTTGAAATAATTTAGGTTGACAAGTTTTTTAGTTTGGATATTTAGAAGTCAAGGACAATCAAAAATTTAACAGATAATTCTTCAACGATGATTAGTGTATGAGAGAAATAATTTCAACACGGCAATTGGCCGGTGCGCGAACCGACCAGGGATTCTCTCCCAGAAAAGCGCTAAACAGTTCAGCAAACAGGAACACAAAAAGTACAGAAGATATTCACAACAGTTTTCGAATCGCGAAATATGCACAACAGGTTTTTCTGATTTCTGCAAAAGGTTAGTTTTTGGTAAGAGTACGAGATTTCTCCGACACGACGTAACGCTTCGAGGTAAAAATTTGGACTGTGTGTTTCGGCGCCAAAATCAGGGGTTTTTAACAAGAAAAATTGACAGGGAGGGTTGGGTAATATTTTCAGGGAATCCCAGATGTTGGGTAACGAAAAGTACCAGGTGCTGGTGTTTTTCACTATTTTGCAGTTGGACTAGTAATGTTTTCTCAGGAGACAGGGTGGCTTTTACGATTTTGCTGAACTTTACAAGGCTGAATTTGTTGTTCCCGAAGACCGGGTGTTTTGAAGGCTTGTAAAAATATAAACAAGAGGAGAACATGCTTGGAGAAGTAATTTAATTTTGCTGGTACTTTTAGTGCTTCTTGACAGTTTAGAAAAGGTTTGGTCTTGTGAAGATAAATTGTTTTTAGGGAAGAGGATACGATATTTTTTGGGAACGCGTTGCCAGCAGATGGTCGAGTTTTTCTGTGAGTTTTGGAGGGGTTAGATGACCCCTGTTTTCGCGGAAAAGAGAAGAAAAGAAAAAGGGGGGATTCAATGTCCCCCTGTTGATAAAGTGGAGACGTCATTTTTGACGACTGTTTTGTCCCGGTTCTGGGGGTTAAGATATTGTTGGTGTGCCGACTTTGGCAAGTTAATTGATCCCGCCTGTTTCCCCGCCAAGGGGATTAATTTACAGCCCCGGGCGCGTCCCGAGACGCGCCAATTTTGGTAAACTTGAGCTATTTGTCCCTTCTCAGGGAAATTGACACTGCCGCTGGTGTCGAGAAAAAATTCCGCACATTTCTTGCTCAGATTAATTGAGGCATGTAATGAGTCCTCAACATATTTCAAATAGTGTTTGTCTCAAAATTACCTGTCTCCAATTGTACCTGTCTCAAATAGTCCTTGTTTCCAAAAATCTCTGTCTCAAATTACCCCTGTCTCTAAAAGTTTCTGTCTCAAATTGGCCCTGTCTCCAATTGCTTGTTTTGTTTTGTCCTAGATACAAAAAACTGCATTGAAAAACCTGAACCCATTCACGTCTTTGTTGCATGGAACACATCCTTCTACACAAAAGTATTTTGTTGTTTGACGGATAATTCTCCTCTTAAGCCTGATACCATCTTAGGATTACCAAATACAGGTGGTACCTCGCAAATTTACCTGAATCCAATGCCAAACTAGGGTCAAATTGCGAGACACTTTGTGAAATTCAAACATATCAATGCAAAAAACCCCAAAAATGGCCAAAGCAGGTCAAGGGTCAACTTTCTGTTGAATTTTGGGACAATCGAATTGCGGGAGGCCGAATTCCGAGGTACATGTACTGTAAACAAAGCATCACAGAAATCCTCAAACCACTTCACTAGAACGCTCTGAACGCTAAAATAAGCACGAAAAAACGAGAAAAATGGCAAAAGAACCCTGTCACTGTTTTTTTTTTTTAATTCCTGAAAAGTAATGAACTTCGTATTTTTACGCTAGTGCTGCAGAACAACTACCGCCTGTTTCCGGGCATGAGCAGTTTCCAGTTCCGGAATTCGTCAGAAAGAATGTGTTGAATGGGACAGCGCTTAGTGTTGCGGAATTTTTCTCTCGGTGTAATAAACGCGTTCTTCGTTCTACAGAGTTTGTTTTACGTGACACAACTTAACTGAGGTTATCGACATAAGATCAAATAACACAAACGGGCGAAGGAGAAGTGAATGATGATGGAAACACGACCTGGAAAAAAAGGGGGTTACAACTATACCAAAGAAGAAACATTTGTCCCAAGACGTCGGGTCTGAAAGGGGGGAAACAAATCGCTCGACTGCACACGAAACTCCTGTACTTCGTACAAGGAGTGGAACAACAAAATCAACACGACCCTAACGTTCCTCTCTTTCGTATTCATTTCAACAACAAAAAAAGAAAACAAAAATACTCACAGGGAATGATTTTCGGGTTCTGGTTCTTGGTCTCATTTTCCGACTTCGATCCGTGCCTCGTGGAGTGGCCTTCTCCTACGGCTCTCGTGGCTGTCTGCAACGCAAAAAGAGAAAAAATAAAAACAAAAACTCATCAGAAAGGTCGTATAAATCCGAAACACCTTCAGCAGAACCACCGAGAAAACAAGGAAAGGAGCCCCTTCGCTCCCATTACTCCGAATGGTAATCAATCACGCCAAAAAACGCGGACGTAACGATTTTTTTTTCTTCTTCTGGGACGAAAAACGCGTGGTTCCGCTCTTGGCCTTGGCCCAAATATTTTGGCACGATATCTCGCAAACCACCCGCCGAGCGACCAAGAAAAATAAAAATAAATGCATCCGCCCTCCCCACCCACAGATATGCATGCAAAACATTAAGACATAAGCGCACGGCAAGGTCAACAGGTCGTGAATCCCAGTGCCTCTCGCTTCGTCAAAGGTCAACTCCAAGCAGAAACAAGGTTTTGCCAGCTGGATGAATGTTTCCAACGGTATCATAAATAAATACAATACACACAGTGAATGCTCTCATTTGCTCCACTTACTTCCCATCAGGTGTTCAAAAGCAAAAACATGGGTTCTCTGATCAGCTAAAGCACCTAGCCTTTCAGGTATGCAATGCCACACACTTGTTGAATGAATTAATGAACCAAATGAGTACCTCAAGCTTTGCGCTATAACTGGTGAATTGAACACAACTACAAGATTGCCCGTGGTTCTTGAACAGCTTAAATGATTCAAAATTGTAAAAATAATTGCAGACGCTTTATCTTAATGCCGAGGTTTTGGCTGGGCTTCCCCAGGTTGTCACAAATAAGGATCTACGACAAATCAAGACAGACAATATGAGACAGGGCCAATTTGAGACAATACCAAGTCAAGAAAGGGCCAAATCCAGACTGAAACGTTTTGAGACAGGGATAAATGTAGACAGATACATATTCAGAATTTGAGACAGAGACTGTTTGAAACAAAATGACTTTCTCCCTACTGTCTAATGATGAAGGTGTGAAATTGAATAAAAAAATGATTATGCAGGAACCTTCTTTTTTCTTTTTGAAGGATTCTTTGGGAATAATGAACAGTGCACCTTTTGAGTTACTTTCTGAAAAGTCGAGTTTGCAGCTTATTCATTCTGTACACCTTAGTAAATCTATAGATTCATAAAATGGTAAAAATGGTCTCAAATTCCCTAATATTGTCTTGCTATTTGTGAAATTCAAATTAGCTGCATCAATAGCTATTTGATGAGAATCTGTAGTTGCTTTAGGGCTGTCTCAGATTGTCTTTGTCTACAAAATTTCCTGGCTCAAATTGTCATTATCTTGAATTTTCCCTGCCTTGAATTGGCCCATACAACTCAACATGTGTGCCACAACTGGTGAATTGAGCACAAGTACAAGATTACCAGTGGTTCTTGAACAAGTAATCAGCTTTGATAATTCAAATTTGTAAAAAAAATTTTATGATCCTGATGTCTGGTGTTTGCTGGGCTTCCCAAGGTTGTCACAAATGAATACAAAATGAACAATAAATGCTCTGATTTGTTCCCTTGCTTCCCATGTATTTACCAGCAAAAATCTGGGTTATCTGATCAACTACAGCCTTTTAGGTACGCAATGTCAAAAAATGTAGCAAAAATCAATAGAAGTAAACTAAATCAAATGAATAACACCAGCAGCAGGCCACACATGCAGTGAGCAAAGTAAAATATTACCATTGGTCCTTGAACATGCAACTTGCTTTAAATTCAAATGTTGACCTAATTCCATACATTTCATTATGAAGTCCAGGTATTGTTAGACACAAAATGTCGAACCCCCCCCCCCCTGGTTGATTGCCATAAACAAGTACAATAAACAGCACATGAAATGTTCCCATTTCTTACCCTCACTATGTATGCGTTTCCATGCAAAAATCTTGGTTCTGATCAACTACATTATCTGGCCTTCAATGTATGCAATGTCACAAACATGTTGCATGAATCAATGCTAAAAATTGAACCAAATCAATAGCTAAAGCTGACCAAAACTCATTAAAATGATTCAAACTTCCACAGATATGACTTCCAAAACTCAGAGGGCGACACCTATATATTAGCAAAATAAAATAAAAGCATAGGGAAAACCGATTTCTAGATATGCCATACAAAATCAGAGGTTTCAAGTTTGACATTTCTTTCATATTCAAAATTGAGCACCTCAGAAAATATGCATTCTTTGCCAATTCTTAAACACAGGTGCCATTTTCAGTTTCAGAAAATGGTACCCCATGTTGGAAGATATTAGACTAGAATTTCATTGCAAAGAAATTTGTTATAGCAAATGATTTTTACAGCAAAGTCAGTTTTTAGGTCCCTGTCCAATAGCCTCAATGTTTAGATATTCCGTTCAAAATTTTTTTTTTTTCAACAACGCTTTTTTACCAGTCTCAATGGCCTCTTTGTAACTATATTTTACTGTAGAATTATTTGCTGCAGAAATAAATTCATTCATGCATAAGGGAAAAATGCTCTTGAAGTCACTGTTCGCACCAAGAGCTTGTGCATCAGTGAGATGAAAATCTGACATGAAGGCTTCCCTGATCCTTATTAAAAAGTTAGGCTCAGAAAAGTGAGAATATCTCAAGATCCATAAGATGCAACAAGTTTTCTATGATTAGAGAAAAATTAGAAAACATCTTTAGCTTTGACTTACAAATTTGAGAATTTTTTTAGGTCCAACATTTGCAGGGTCATGTGCTTTGGAATTTCACTCATCCTGAGTTATGCCATTTGCAAAGCATTTTTCCTTTCTTGATTGTATTTCTTTTTGGAAGCAAGTTTTTATTCCACAATGCAAGGTTGTATTTCCTGATTGTGCGTGTGTGAGATTTTGTCTTTTGATACCTGTGATCAATGACCACAAGAAGTCCTCTTTTAACATCCAAGGAGTAAGGATGCTCCAGCATCCATAAATGTAGATTTGCATTTTAAATTATTAGCCCTTGGAGGCTGGGTAACTGCCTCAGCACTCCAGTGTTTCTTGCATCTGGAATGTGTTTTTTTGCAGCTTAAAATCTGTTATTATTTTTCAACATTTAATTGGTGCAAGAGAGGGCGGAAACTATAGGAAATAAAAATACAGTACAAAGCTAAGGAAAAAATAAATGAGGCGCGATTCAAAAGCTTTCTTCCGAAGTCGATTCCAAAATTTCTCCATTCCACGCAACAGCTGCTCCTCTTCTCAGCTGTCATCGAAAGCAAAAAATAGAAAAAAACAACAAAATAAAATAAAATTCAACTGGATCATACGTTTCCTGCGTGCAAGAGAATTCAAGTGACCCGAGTTGCGAGATTTTTCCAGACAAAGCAGGGTCATCCAACCTTGCGCCAAAAAATGCCTCGCACTTTCTTGCTCGTTCTTCCGAATCTCCGGCCAACAAAGAAGACGAAATCCCACGTGACAAGAAAAAAAAAACAAAGTCGCTGTTTTGTTATACAACACTATAGTTGCGAAGGATACGAAAACAACTGACGAGCCTCGCTTCATCCGCCTGCCTCATGTCAGTGCTTCTGTTCATTTTCTCACTCTGCCATTCGCAATTACATGCGTGCAATTCCAAGTGAAAAGCAAGCAAACAAACAAAATGACGAATGAATAAAATGAAATAAAAAAGACTTCAGGAGAAAAAAAGCCAAGGCGCAAAACAATTGTCAAGAGTGTTCCACAGCCTACTGTTGTCAAGTCTATGCCAGAGCAGCCAAGAAAACGGACGACTGATACTGTCCAGAATAAGACTCGCATTTGGGATAACTTTCGTGAAGGACAATCGTGTAAGATACTCATTTTGACCTTGAATACGGTCGTCTAGATAATCTAGAACAATTTTCCTCTCACGAAACTAACAACGTAGAAAACAGAGGCGTTCAATAGGTAAAGGAAGCGGAATATTGGAAGTCAGAAACAGAACTGCACCTAGCAGATAAAATTCCAGGCAGACTTTCTCTACAATAATTTTTTTCCTATCTGAGGGATTTTTTTTTCGTGGGTCCCACAGGGTTCTCTCCCCTCATGCTGCAGGGGTTCTCTACAACGAATTTTGTTTCTGGTCCATTGCATTTCGTTTTAGAGAGTCAGCCTGCATAAAAAGTCATTCGTTCGCTTCAAATTTCGCACGTAACGCATTGTATTTCGAATGCAGTTTTTTCAAGTTTACAAAGTTATAAAGGGGGGAGGGGAGGAAAGAAAAAATAACACTGTTTTTATTAAAAAAAAAGTAGCTAGCATTAAAAATGTACCAAAGCGAAGCAATCGTTCACGCAAAAATTGAAGAAAATTCCGGGGGAAAAATCTCGGTCATTGTGCAAAACAATCAAAAACTTGAAAAGTACTTAGAAGGTCCAATTACCCGAGTTGAAACTAAACGCTTCCGCCATAAAAAAAATGTGATAAAAATTCAATTACAAAATGCAGATGGGCAACAACATTTGAAGGACCAAAAACATTCGCTGTAGAGAGAATTTTGTTGCAGAATGAGTCCACCTGGTATCGTTATACAGTATTATATTTATCCTTATGTTTAGGTATTGATATCCCCTGATTTCTACAATATTTAAAAAAGGAAAATTTGAAAATCTTAGTACTGTGCGTTAATCTCGTCCCTTCTCGGTGTAATACTGGAATGCATCGAAAAAGAAAAATCGTTGAAACAAATTTTTCGAGATTCACAACATGGGGACATTACAAGTCGCCGAAATACACTTTCGCAGAAAATTATATCAGACCTTTTCCCGCTCTACTTCCATGATTATAATTTACTATCCGCTTTGCTTATTGTACATATACCTGATATACGTATTTTAAATTGAATTTTATCCGGAGAAAATATTGAAAAACACATGTACAGTACAGTCGTATAAAGCACACTGACATAAAGACCGGATTATTTCAAATGAAATACGCAAAAAACTGGGAAAATCAGGAAACGTTTCGCCAAAAGCTGTGAAAAAGACGCGTAAAAATTTTTCATGCTAAAATAAATCCTACGACATACATATATATGATAACAAAGCACAAACCGAGCAGCTGGCTTCTTTTTTTTAACCTCACATCAGCAGAAGTTGAAGAAAATATTCCGCCCTTTTCCAAATTCATATCGACCTCGCAACATTATCTGATAGAAATCCCGAGGTTCCATTAGATTCAAGAACCCTGATGAAACCCTTCATACTTTCCAACTTCACCAAGGCTTTCCAAAACTAACAACTGGATGCATTTTCTTTTCATTTTGATACATTTTGTCGGGGGGAAATTCGCGGGGTTTATCAGAAGTATAGTCCATAACCTGAAAATCGTTTGTTCTCAGATTAATCATCCAATATATATGGTAATGAAAAATCAACATTTTATTTCCTTTTTCAAAATTATCAATTTGTAGGTAATGAAAATTTTGCCTCACCCTGACTAGAAAAGCATGCAAAACTAAAAAATTGGCAATTCTTCTCTTTCAGCTCTTGGGGAATTTCTAGGTTAAAATGGCAGGTGAGCTTTTTTCCTGTATAACTACAGTTGAACCTCTGTAAGTCAAATTTCTAGGGACCAGGAAAAAGTTCGACTTGAAATTGTAAATGAGGAGATTCTGGGCATTAACTTAACTTGCCTCTTGTTGAGTTCATACTGTGCTGAACTTCGAAGCAGGGGTTCATTTGCTATATTTGTCTTTCAATTCCTTTCAAGATGCATCAAATTATTTGTTTTAATCATTTTCTCTTTCATGTTTCACAGAAATAATAACCAGAAGGCCTGAGAAAATTCGACTTACAGAGGTTTTAGAAAAAAGAATTTGAGCTAGGGAAGCTTTTGATGTATCGATTTTAAGGGAATTTGGACAGGGACTTGAAAAAAAATTCTACTCATGGAGGTTCGACTTATCGAGGTTCACCTGTATATTGAAGGACTGTCAGTAACAAACCCCTTCCCAGAAATGATACTAAAGCTATGAAACCAAGTCTTACACTTGAAAACTGCAAGGTGTGAAATACTCTGATACTTTTCCATCAGAAATTCTCTTTCGGGAGAAAGAAAAACGGGAGAATCTCATTAAAATTTGCGCATTTTATAAACGGACTACAGAAGAAATTCAAGAGGATTTTTTAGCGACGTTTTCATAGAATTAGAAAAAAATACCAGCCCAAACTTGAAACACACTGGAGCTCTCCGATTATTTGAAAGGTTTTCTTTTGCATCTCATAACCACATCAACATCCAATTTTCATCAAAATCTTTTCTAGCTGCATCTGCATTTTCAATTGCAATGTAAGCGGTACAATCTAGAATGTACCACTGGAAATTATTTTGAAATGGCTGTACTTCTTTACTGACAACAAGTAGAGCATATTGCATGCAAAATTAACTTTTAGAAAACATTTTGTTTTCAAGTGAAACCACCTGGAATTTTTTTAAATCTCAAATATTGAATGAGATATGTTGTGATTTTTAAGCAGTACAATCTAAAACATACCACTGGAAATTATTTTGAAATGGCTGTACTTCTTTATTGACAACAGAAAGAGCATATTGTATGCCATATTAACTTTTAGAAAACATATTTTGTTTTCAAATGAAACCATATGAAATTTTCTTTATCTCAAATATTGAATGATATATGTTGTGATTTTCTTCGTCATGTTAGATCTTGTATGACGACCTTTAATAAAACTTTACCGACATGAAGAAATGACTGTTATCCATGTCGTATAACATGTCATAAAGTATAAAGGAACATCTTAAAAAAAAGTGTGTAGTTGGAAAATATAAGAAATGACCATTGAATATCGTTTTAGTGACCCCCGGACTTTCGAGACCCCCCGGCATCACTTCTAGAAATGCGAGCCCCAGGAGTTCGTGGCGAATTGACCTCATCAAACTGTTCTCCAGGGTCATTCAATATCTGCTGGGCCGATCATTTCCGGGCTCGACGGGGAAGGAAATAAATGCTCACGCAGCAAGTTTTCATTCGACGCAGTGTGGCGAAAAGGCCTATATATCGGAAATTCTGCGAGTTCCTCTCCGTTTTCCAGCAGTGAAATGCGAGAATCACGACTCAATTCGAACACGGGAGAAAAGAAACCCACGAAAATCAATTCGCCCTTTCGTCCCAAATTATCGTCAGTGCAATTCTGCAGAAAAGTACTGTACCGTATTCGAGATGACGTTCTCGGAAATATTGATGCCTTTTCATACTCGCGACTGAAAGCCAATTTAAATCCACAATGACGACCAGAATCAATCAGATATTTTTCCCCGTCAGGAAAAAGATAAACTTGGTCAACATGAACTGGTTGCCAGATGCAAAAACCCAGCTTGTTGAATTCATTGCATACTTTTAGAACTTGACAATACGACTTGTTATAATGAAAAAGGGAGGAAAGACTTTTTTCCTCTATTTTCACTTCTCCCTAAACACTTCCAATCTCACTCTTTCCCGTGATTAAGGGGGATGGTTAGTGTTCCAGTAAAGGCTGTTGGCCTTCACTAGATTAATACGGTACAAACTCACGAAAAAAATACTGTTACAACAAATTTTTCAGTTCAACAAACTGTTCTCCAAGTTGTTATCCGAGAATTTCTTGTCCTTCCTGCAAGGACTATTTTCGAATCCAGGAATAGATTCTCCCATTTTTCAGAAATGCCTTATTTCAAAATAAGGCCATGGGATGCTTTTTCCTTTGTTTAAATTACTGTACAATGAAATCCATGCATGTTTTGGATTACAATAGGACAATTGCAGCAATAAAATATTGCCTTGTTTGATTCTCACAATGCCATGGCCTAGAGTTTATTTTCCACATAAACTCTAGGCTGATCACCAGCAAGACCAGAATTCTCTGAACCTGCAGTTGGCTTCTTTTCAAGAAACTTCCTCTTGCAAATTTCGGAAGTGTCTCTAGTGTGTCTGAGTGATATTTGATAGTATACAAAATATTGGAAATATTGTATTGTGCTATTTACAAAGAATATATTTTATTCTATATATTTATAACCTAGTGTTTTCTTTTTATTTCAAGTCCATAAGGACAACAAAGTCCTGGCAAGAATCTTATGGGGTGCATTTCACAAAAACTCATTACAACAAACTCGCCAATACCAGCACAACACATTTTTTTGAGGAACATACTGTGATTTCTTAATGAGAAATCCCCTCTCTCAAACTTCTCGTTCAAAATGTGAATGTGACTGGTTCTTTTGGGAAATAGAGTAGAGCCAGGGACAAAAATTCTTCGAAATCCACTCAACAGAAAAATAAAACATGACAAAATTCAAGATGCAATGAGGACAAATTTGTCACACGATAACTTCTTCGTTTTAGACTCAACCACGAAGAATGCGAAAAATCTTCCCGACACTCGATTCACACATGCATTAAGAAACAAAACTCGCGAAAAAAATTCAAGAAACACGAGCCCCAAAAGAACCCCCTCCCAAATACTCGACAGTAACCCAGAACAGACTCGGGGAATTCATGGGAAAACCCCCTTTTCCCTCGTCGCAGCTCTTATATATGTCGCCTAAACCGGAAACCATGTCTGCGGCACTCAGTTAAAGAGAACCCTAATACTTCTACACAGGGTAGAAAAAGAAAATAAACAATCACGAGGCTCAGGAAGTCTGACTTTTCCGCGTTGCAGTCGACCGGATTTCGCCGACGGTGTCGCGTTTGGGGAGGCAGAAAGCAGGTCAACCGAAAAAGTGACCCGTCACCATAAACCCTCACGAAGAGCCCACATCTTTCTCGAAGGAAGGAAAAGCCGATTTCCGCCTACAGAAAAATTTAGTAACAAAGAATCTCGCTACGAAGAATTTTTCGTTAGAACGAAATTTTTTCTTGGTCCCGGCAGTTTCTTCGCAAGAATAATGTTGTAAAAACTTCGTTATAACGAAAAATTCTCCATCAATGCAATTTGTCTTTATCCTCGCAGTTTCTTGGGAGGGACAAGTATGTAAAAACTTCCGTTGTAATAAAAAAAAAGTCCTCATCGACGACATTTTTCCTGCGCTCCGGCAGTTTTTCAAAGGGACAATATTGTAAAAATCAGCGAAATTTTTTCTCTGTTCCAGCAGTTTCTTCATATAGGGATAATGCTGTAAGAATTTAGTTATAACAAGGTAACTATCCTCAATAATCACAGAATAACGAATTTTTGCTTTGATTACGTCTGCATGGGCAGTACAATTCAATGCATACATTTCAAGAATTCGCATTATATGGGAAAGCCCAACCTGTAATTATTTGAAAACCTAAAAAAAATATGAAAGCTAAGCTTTTCGTGCAGAAACGTTTGCATTACAGGGTGTATGAAGCTCGAATCAAAATGCATTCACCTTTATTTCGGAATTCACATATGATTAAACAAAGAAAATTGTGTTCGGGAGAAACTGCTTCATTTCAGGTAATATAAAATACTACTCCTAATTAATACTTGCTCTTATTACAAACGTATTCTCGGTTGGTTTCAGCTTATGCATCAGTGATATCAGTAATTGTGTATCTAGTTTTTTAGAGAAAATATGAGAAACGGACGGTTTAAATCAGAGAATCGTACCTCACTAATTTTAATATTCTCGATTATCTAATCATAAGAGGTTGTAAAATTAGAACATTCTTCACAAGTGTATTGTCGAAGTACTGTAGACTTTTAAAGCATATACTGTACAGTATTGATGTTCCTCGCAACATTTCAGTCCTAAACGCTACAAGAACCGTGCATCTCGTTAAAACAAATTTTCAGTTGCAACGAATTTTTTCTCCGGTCCGTGGGAGTTTGCTGTAACAACACGTCACTGTATCAAGATCTGAATCAATTGAAAAACTCAAAATTTGGAACTACTAAAATCACAATCGCAATTCGAATAATTAAGCTTGCTGTTTACCTCTCTCTTTATTCGTCTGTTGAACGCATTATAAATTCGCGCATTTACGATGATTCCCGCTTTCCCATTACAATGCAGATGAAATGACGTCGCAAATATTTGCGAACAGCATTTGCATGAAAATGAACTAACGCATAAATTTCGACGTCAGGAAGAAACATTCCTCCGATAATACCTCGAAAAAAACAAACTCAAAGACCGCTTTTTGATCAACTATGAAAAAAAATCTCGGAAAAAAAACATTCTCCAGAAAATAATCTCGATCTGGAATACAGTATTCTTATGTATAAACTGCTCATTCCTACAAGAGAAGCAATATCCTTTGTCATGTACCCCGATCCAAGAAACAATAGGACAGTGATTTCCTATTTCTCGACACGGGATGTCCCGAAAAAAAAAATTATCCAGCAAAAACATTTCCGTCTGTACTTTATGACGATAAAAGAAGTTTGCTAATCTCATTCCATGCAAGCAGTATAGCATTAGCGTCACAGCATGTAACCTGAAACATGAGACAGTTTCTTCAGCTAGAAGAAAAATGAACAAATATTCTGCCCTGATGTCATACAAAAGGGTTCAATAAAAAGTAATACCACTTTGGTTTACAATGAGCTTCAACATTCGCTTGACTACATTTGTCCCTATTCGTACTGATTTTGTCTTGCCAAATGCAAAATGACGCAGCAAATCCTGGCCATCCCAGAACCTCATTTCCAAACGTACAATTTCCCTTCTCGAAGCAAATTCTATTGAATTGAGTAAGAATTAAATTAGTTCTCTGACAGCGCAAACTTGAAAATCAACTTCATCAGAGACACTGCGTCAAAGCTCATTTTTATCTTCCAATAACACTGACATTTTTTTCTGAAATTCCGGAATTTTAAAATTCATCAGGAAAAGTATCGCAAAGGCAAATACAGGGAGACCCCCACATGCGGACACCTCGACCTGCCGACAATTCGACACAGGGACACTTATTTTCCCAGAAAAAATAATAAAAAAGGCCCGAAATGAGGACACCGACTCAACATCAGGACATTTTGCGATAAAATTGCAAATACATTTCAGGCCAAATTACAAGAAACAGATATTTCCAACCCTGAAATTGACGTTAGAAAAGTTCTTGGGCATTTCTCTCACCAATTTACCATCCATTTAGCTATTTTTAAAAAATTACCTCCGACACAGAGGGACTTCCACTTTTTTCCCACTTGAATGTTACTTTTGTAGATGCCAACATTTCCATGTACAGTACAGAGATACACTATTCAATGCTCCAAATGTTCTTATTGAGTTGAAAATGTATTTAATAATTCAAATTTAAGTGGCAAACAATATTTTTCAGGGAATTCTGAAGAGCATTTCTCTTATAAAAAACCAATTAAAATTATAGAATGCAAGTCTACGGGAAAACAAGACTCAACTAAGGGACACTTTTGATGCACCGATTATGTCTGCATCTCAGGGTCTCACAACAAATATTTTCTTGTGATTAGTTCAAAACTTTGTCACATTTCAGCGCAACATTCTATCTTCAAAGTCAGTCGATGGGAAAAAATATTGTACAGTCAAACCTCTCCAAGACAAACTTCACTGGACAAGCAAAAAAATTTTGAAGTTCGGCAGGTTTTGAGTTACCAAAACCAACATTTTTGTTGTGGGGAACACAGAAGAATTGCAGGAAATTATAAGAAGTGATATTCTGGTCATTGAATTGCATCATAAATGATTTGATGGGATGCTGAACTCGGAGCCAAGGGTATTCATTTTTCCAATCAATCTTTCACTTCCATTCAAAACACATCTTCATATTTTCACTGCTTTTCTCTTTCCTCTGTCAATAACGTAATAGCCAAATGGCTTCTTGAAAATTCCAGTCATGGAGGTTATCAATTCCTTGTTTTTTAAAGGACTCAAACAGGGACTTGAGAACAAATATTCTACATCGCGAGGCATTTCAATGAAGAAGTTTACAACGTTCAACAGTACAGTATATATACGAACCTCGGATCATAATAACAGACACACACAAAAAAAAAAAGAACATGGACTTTTAAAGATGCCCTCATGACTTCATTCGAGTATACACATAAAACAAGGGAAAAATGAAATAAATGGAAAGAAAGGAAAAGAGGCACTCACGACGAACTCCACTTTGAGCAAGACCGGATACCGACGCCGCTGCTCCATGTACTTGGGAAACGCGTCCATTTCCACGGGCTTCGTAGTCAGCGCAGAGATTGCTCTGCTTTCCTCAGCTGGACAGCCATTGCAAAAAAACAAAAACAAGTGGAGAAAACAGAAAAAAAGAAGAAAAATGTGAAAATTACATTCTGTACAAGACAAGTATTCTGTGTATTGCCGATATCATGCGCGGCAAAAAATGAAAGCGGCGCGAAATCAAACGCATTCCAGACAAGATGTTTCCAACTTGCTCATTCTTCATTATTATTAACCGCATCTAAATGAGTCAACCAAAAAAAACAAAAAAAACAATCGGAGTCGTGCAAAGGAAAATACATCCACAAACTTAAAATTCCATTCCATGCTTTTGCACGGTGTATTCAAAATAATTCAGGGCATTAAAAATCACACGCACTTAAAATCGTACGCTTTTAACTCTCAGCAAAATATCCGACGAGAAATTGAAAAATCAGACATCAAAAAAGAGAATCTTGAACGAACAAACGCAAAATGACGAGTCCACAGAAAAGAAAACCAGCAAATAGAATATGACCTGATAATCTAATCCAACCCAACTCGAACCAACACAGATGTTTCTTTTTTTCTTCATTTTCACTCAAACCTCACGCAACTTGACTAAAATCCACCTTGATCACTACAGAAATCAAATTTAACTTGAAACTAGCTTAAGCTACCAAAATAACCGAACAAATTCTCTTGGTATATTTTAAATTAACGCCAGATGAACATGAATTTGCCTGACATGAACGAAAATCTCCAGAAGAAATATTTTGTTATTTTCCAGTTTCATGAATTTTATCTTTGGCGCTTTTCTTCTATAAACACGCTCTTCTCAAATTGGCCTCAACTGTGTGAACTCAACGAAAAACACGAAAAAAATTGCTTAAACAATCCGAATTCCAACAATTTTTCACCTGAAAGAGATTTAGAACCACACTTGATTTCAAAATATGCCAAAACACAAAAGACGTACAGAATATCTTCGAAGTTCAAATGCGTGTACAGTATTTTAAATTAATAATAAAAAGCTTCCGTTTCATACAGAAATGGACAGCCTCATCAAACTACGACGTCCAGTTCAATTCATACCGTAAAAAAGAGATACCGTCAATGAGCGAAAATACTTACAAAAAACGCAGTGTTACTTGGGACTGAAATGTGTCATTCACCGGAATACAAAAAGGAATCTTCTGAAAAACCAGCCCATATTCACGAATGCATGCTATTCAGCAATTCTTGTGCATTTTCGCGATACCATACTTCATCCGAATTTTTCTAAAATAAAGTAGGGCTTCAAAATGCGGACATAGTGTCCTTATTTCGGAAAGTATGCGTATTTCAGCACGTTCTCATCAGTATTCAATGAAAACACATTTCATTGGTTCTCCACTGCATACAAAATTAGCCCAAAATTGAATAAAATATTTTCTCAAGTACAAGATACAGATACAAATCTGTGCAAAAAACACAGAATCTACCAAAATTATTGGCAGGAAAATAAAAAAGCACACATCTTGATATACTGTATACACTTGATGGAAAGAACCCTAAAAGTGAGGCACATAATTGGCACATTCACAGGTCGGGGCTCACAGAAGTAGTGAACCTACAGTGGGACGCCGACATTCGGGAGAATCAACTTAAAACTCAAAATACCTGCCCAAACATCCAGGAAATGTCTCCAGATACGGACACTAAAAATTAATATTAAAGCTTGACAAATGGAGAAACTTTTCTTTTCAAAACGTTAATACAGTATCTCTTGGAAGATTCAGCTTTTTATATCCACAAGTAATAATGAATATGAAGTTTATTACTGCATATATTTAAATTTGAGTATGTAATGATTTGTATGATTGTTTTCTTTTACTTTTAAGCGCTGTTTCATGCCGGAAGATCAGAGTATGCTTGATTTTCTTTCGCACTCTTATTTTCTGTTTCTTGAAGTTGCAAACAATTATTTCGAGCGAATTTTCAGGGGAATTTTTCCAAATGTTTGTTCAACAAGAAAACAAATCGAAAACGTTCGCATTGAACTTGGAAAATATGATCAGACGTGCTTCCTAATATGAATATGAAAATATGATCAGACGTGGAGAAGATGATCAGACGTGCTGACGTAGGGAAAAGCACAAATTACGTCTGCATCTCGGGGCCCACTGTATCGACCTGCAGCCAGATGCAAAACATGCAACATGCTCTAGTTCTAAATCCGTTCGCGTCTGAAAGCCCAGATTATTCTAAAAATATATACGTAATCTGGTTTTTTCCATGCGCAAGACCGCGTGTAAGATTGTTCTAAGAAACAAGGCTAATACTTGCAAAAGGGGACCCCGAAATGCGGACACCGCGACGTATGGACGATTCAACTTGCGGACACGGGAAACTTTGAAAAATCCGTCCGGTTTTCCACAAATTCTTTAAAAAATTTAATTTTCATTTATCGAAATTTTCATATTTCTTGAAGAAAGCGAGCTACAGTAATTATGTTCACAAATTATGAAAATGAAATTTATTTTAACATTACCTTCATTCATAATAAAGAACAGGCTCATTTTTGCTTCTTTTTCATTAAGTTTTTTTTTTTAAATCATTTGTGCTTAGTGTAGCAAACCCTGTTCTTGTTCTCTGCTTTTAGAGCTGCTCCTTTTGATGCCAAAAGATCAAATTCTGTGTGGATTTTTTTCTTTACGTTTATTTTCTTTTAACTTGAAAATTAATAAAAAATTATTTGATCCCATTTCTAGGGAGACTTTTTCTTAATTATTGATTTACAGGAGAACCAATTGATAATATTCTCACTGAAGTCTATGAGAGAACAAGGTCCAACATGCGGACGTTCTGACATAGGAAGAACTTCCAAGCACAAATTATGTCCGCATCTCGGGGTCACACCATATTCCGATCTTTCACAAATAACAAGGCCAGGCAACAAACAACAAAATTTTCGACTACAACAACAAATGTGACCAAAATAACGTCAACGCAATGACAGCAAAGTAAATAATGGAAACACTGAGATTCATCATCGCACCTCTGGACAAAGGCAACAGGCCGCTGTTCATCATGGACAGTTGAATCTTGCCCGACAATGTGGACAGAGAATCTGCACTTCGTCCAATGAGTTTCGAGGCTCGTCTCGGCGGCTTTTCTGCATCAGCATATCGCATAGATGATCTGCATTTTTTCGACCCAAAATCCAGCATACAGTATTAACTTTTTATTTTGTTGTTTTAAAGGGTATTCGTATGTTTCTTGATATACAGTAATACTTTACTGTACTCACAGCGCCTAATAGAGTACAGTATATCGAAATTCTTTGACGCATCCCACCAGATCTCATCAGACAAATTCGAGATAAATTTGACAAAGTCAAAAGAAATTTGTTAATTGGACGAAGTCAAGAGAAATTTGTTAATCTGACGAAGTCAAGAGAAATTTGTTCATTTGAAAAAGTCAAGAAAAATTTGTCAAAGTCAAGATAAATTTGACAAAGTCAAGATAAATTTGACAACGTCTGAAATATTCAAAGCGTCGAAACCTAGCGCTTCAAAATGAAAAAAAATGTGCAACTTTCGACAGCCCTCATTTTTCCATCAGAATTGAAAACAACGGTTCGTATTTAATTGGAGATAATATTGGACAACGCGATATTGCTGTCAATAATTCATCAAAATTGGATCACTTTGTCAATTTCAAGCAATAATGCGCGTCAAGATTCGATTTGAGCCTTCCAAAGTTTAACAAATCAATTTCATTCGGACTCTCCGTGAAACTTCTTTTTTTTTCAATCGATATCCACGTTGACACAAGTTTTAGGAATGGTTACACGGATAAATGTGGTAAATTTACGAATAAGATTCTAGGAACGAATAAATGAGCTTCGCTCATTCCTAAGCGTAACTCCAATTATTTCCCCGATGTTTACTTCCTAAGATTTTGAAATTTTTATCAAAAAATTAAGATTGAATAACAGATTGTATGGATTTAATCAAAATCAAAGAAATATTTCACGCCATGATTTTCAGAGAGTTTTAAAAAATCTTGTCGATTACCAAATTTTGGAGACATTCTGAGAACCAAAGAGAGACTAATTTTATTCTTTCAGTTGCACTTGAAAAAATCTTTGAATTCGAAAATAAGCTTGTTTGTGAGCGTGAATGCAATTATTCTGTGACATTTACTTTCTAAAAATTTGAAATATCAATACAAAAATGAAGAACGAAGAACAGATCGCAAGGATGTAATCGAAATCGAAGAAAAATGCGACCCCATGCTTCTCAAAGAGTTAGAAAAAAAAATCTCGAGTTAATTACAAAATATCGGATACTTCCTGTGAGGGAAGGAGAGACTGATTTTACTCTGTCAGTAAAATGTTTTGACAGAAAAAAGGTTTCGTCTCGTTCGAAAATGAGTTTATTCGTAAGCGTAATTTCAATTTCCTCGACATCTACTTCGTAAAATTTTTAAATTGACGCAAAAAAGAAAAAAGAAAGATCAAAAGCTTGAACGGATGTAATCATTCTAAATGAAATAAAATGAACCCATAACTTTTCAAGTAGTTAAACAAAATTATGATCCAATTTCGAAGTATTAGACACTGATTTTATTCTTGTATAAAAATGTATCTCTCGGAGATTAAAATAAATACTGTACACAAAACCCCTTGCTTCATTCCGTCGACACGAACCTGGACCTGTGCTTGGACTTGGCCTTACTCTTCTTACTCCTGTGCCCCTTGTTCCTCGACGGACTTCCGTCCTCGTCGTCTTCATTCAACACGTCGTCGACATTGTGCTGATGGTGACGCGCTTTGCCGCCATTGGCGTCCGCCCCGACGGCAGGAGCCGCCGTTTTATTTCCGCGCACCTTGGAAAACGCCGCGATGGACGCGAGCTTCATCGGCGGCGACGACGGGGTCGAAGGCGGCTGTGGCGGCGGTGACGCCGGCGCCAGCTGAGCCGGCGACCGCAGAGCCGCCAAATGACCTTCGACGCCGTAGTCTTCCGCCAGACGCGAGCCGGATTTCGACGGCGCCTGGTTCGACCGCCCGAGACGGATCAGGTCCGTCTCGAAAAACATCGTCACTCAAATATTTTTCGCGTGTACTTTTTTATTGTGATTTGACAGATTTTTTTCGCGACACTTTTCTTGTTTTTAGCACTGTGGGTAAATCTGATATCTTGAAACAAACGAAAAAAATGCAACAAATATTGAAGCGTCACCCCTACGGACTGGGGTCAGCCATGCAAATATTCGGCACACGACTCTTATTTTTTCGATTGATTTGAAAAAATGTGTTTGTCTGCATACTTTCTTGTGATTGGACAAATGTCATCGCAAGAAGCACTGTGAGCAAATTTGATACAGCTGGTACCTTTATTGCAATCTGACCATCCTGCAATTTGATGGTCAAATTTGCGGGTGTAGTCTAAATTATGAAACTAGTGAATAGTGAGCCTACTACACTACAGTTATGAAACTTGCATCCAAAAAAAAGTGGGTGGGGGTGTTCTTTTGACCTAGGGGGGCTTTTGGCAGGGGGGGCTATTGGTCAACCTCAAAAATATTTGGCACGAGTGTCTCACGTTTTTTGATTGAGTTGACGAATTTCCCTCCCGACACTTTTCAGAGGTTTCGAACAATGTCGATAATTGTATGCCTTCGAAACCACCCCAAGTATACTGTAATAGCAAAAATTGATTTCTTATTTAATGAATTGTTTATCGCGGACGCATAACAGATCACTACGGAAAACTCATCTGCAATCCAACTCTCTCATTTGTTGCGGATATTATACATAAGGTTTTCTGTACAGGAGCAAGTTAGTAAACTGAAATACTGTATAAACTCACTATAACTTGAATTGTTTGATTCGTGCAGTTTTCATGAGGATTGTTGGATAAATTTCGATACTCTGTATCCAGAGATGAGGAGGAAAACATCACGAGTCGTCGAAAAACGTGCGCCGATAACGATTTTCTTTCATCTAAATTTTTTTTTTCGATGGAGTAAATGCAACGCAAGAATTCAGCTAAAAGCTCAAGTGTCAGCCAACCCACAAATTCGTCGTAGATGCCAGTACTGTATTAAATATAGGGATACTTGCACAGAAACAAAGTTGATAGACTGCATAATCATTTCCGCAGCTTTCATCATTTGATTCATAATTCTGAGGACTTTCCGAGACACCCAAATCTTTATGAAATTCGCAGTTCGAGATCAAATCAGCGCTAGACTGACTCTATATACCAGCGTCACGCAAAGGAGCGTCACGTCAAAATTCACGACATCGTTCGCTATGTTTTATCAGCTCACTCCGAAAATTTTGCAACACCATTTGAACTGAGAGGACAACGGTTCGTATAAGTCATCAAAAATACATTTCCCGATGCTCAAATGATAAAACGGTTCGAGATAAGAAACATGTAACAAACAAAATCCGGTCGCAGAATCGTTGAGCCTAATACATGAACTGACGGGTTACATTTCTATATAATATAGACCCACAAAAGGTGGGTATCAACAGGGAAACATTAAGAAAAAAAAAAAACGGACAGCATTGTCCGCAAAACAACGCAAACGGCAGAAAGAAGTAGGGTAAAAATTTCGGAAGAATCCAAAGAAAAGTACTGCACATTTTTTTTTACGCTATGTGTGAGAAGTAAAATTTGGAATTTTTTGCCCCAAAAATACGTGAGTTTTACGGTAGTAATAAACATGAAATTGCGAAGTTTCTGCCACGGTGCCCACGGGAATACGAAAAACAATTGAATAAAAACTCAGAACAAATGCTGGCATTACCACAACCAGAACAATAGCAAGATTTTGAGGTGCCAAAAAAATGAGGGGAATTGTGGGTAAATTCAAGCTTGACTTCATTCACAGTCAAACTTTGAAAGGATGATCATTGCAAAAATCACAATATTTGCCCTGAAATATTTTGACACTCCAGAATCTACAATATTTTTTGGAATGTGCAGTGGAGGAATCTCGACGGAATTTGCCACGAGAGTTCCGGAAATGATGCCTTCTTTTCCAATTCTGCAAAAATTTGCTTAGTTCGACGGCTGCAAGAATTTTACTTGCTCGTGAAATATATTCAATCTCTCCTCGGAAATCCAAATCAAGATTTCACGTTTAATTTCAAGTCAATATCCATATTTTGAGGGTCCAGCAGCAAGAGATAATACAATGATAATTTGCCAAATCAATTTATACAATAATTTGCTCTATTTCCGGCTCAACAGAAACTGACACTTCAACAATAACAAGAAAACCTAAAAAAATTTCGATTTTGCTAAATCGATTGGTACAATAAATTGCTTCGTCTGCGGTTCAACTGAAAACGATCTTTCTACAAACACAAAATACTACACGAACATCTTGACTCACACAAAAAAAAAACTTGCCCTCAAAACCAAACGAGAGCACATTAATCTGTGCAGTACTCGTATTGAGTTTCTTCACCCAGTCCGCAGTCCATAAGTTTGAACATCGTCCCTTCATATTTCATCCGAGATTCATATTCCAAGCACGGCTCAGAACGAGCAAGTACTGTAATACACGAATAAGTACGAATGCAACCGGAATCCAGCTTCCATCAATACATTTCAACAAATTCGCAACCAGGAACTTCCGATGGATCATTTGACATACTATTCCATCCACGTTTTGAAGGAGAGATTCTGCGACATTTGTCCCCTTATCGTAAACTTTATTACATCATATACTACAGGCATTAAATCTGCAGGAAATTTTGCAGCTCATATACTTGTTTACTACTGTTGTGCATCAGCAGAACAAATGATGAAAGAAAATCGCAATGGAACATATAAAACACAGGCAATCCGCCAGTTTGCTGCCAAAAACACAAGTTCCTCGATTTTTTTCAATATATTGTTGGGCATAATTTAAATAGCCGAAAAATGGCACAATTCACAAGTAATCCTGGAAGCACCAGGTGAATACAGTAAAATGAATTTCCGCACAAACCCTAATACGTAGAGTACAGAAAATATTAACAGATAAAGAAAACACGTGATCCTTTAAAATACTCTACCACTAAAATTAAGAGGATCACTGGCTTTTTTTCATCATTGCATTCTCTCCACAACATCTACTTCGCAGAAAAAAAAATTCTATTCAAACAGCACAAGATTTCAATAACCCACCGTCTTGATTGAAATCGTGTCATTTAAGTTGATGCTCTGAAAGCGTTCATACAATTAATGATAACACTGTCTAGAAACCATTTAAAAAAAACCGTTTTAAAAATATGTCGGACGAATGAGAATGAAATTAATTTCTGGTTCCTGTTCCGTTTTATAAAGGAATGGAGTTCACCCAGACTGGCATTCGTCAAATATTCTCTAAATTGAATTAATGCTGACAACCAGACCTCAATTATACTGATGCAGAACTTTCCTAGGATCCCATGGAATTTTTCACCAAGGCCCTTCAACGACAGATTTCACTCAATTTCGCGCAAATTGTGGAGGAACATCGACAAACGAAGCGATCAACTCAATTTCTTCAAACGCACAGGAAAAAAAGGAAGGAATGTACACTTTTTCGTCGGTGATGTTTGCATTAGTTTTTTTCTTAGGTAAATCCATAAAAAAGCATTTCGAAAGATAGTTTCACGTCACAGTATTAAAAATAGGCTTTCACAGTTTAAACGCGAAAAAGGGAAAACAAGACTTGATATTAATTCATTCCGAGCTTTTTTTTTTTCCTTGCTGTGAAGAGGTTCCGCGGAAGAATTTCAAGATTTTATTGAAAACATGATGAGTACGCGGCCACATTTTTGATATTTTACAGGACATGAAGGCCCATACACTTTAACTTTTAGTACATTAAGAACTATGCACGTCCAAATACGTGACACGAAAATTGACTTTCAAATACACCGTTTATAGACGACAAAGGTTCTCTTAAACTTGGGGTTATCGTTATAAAAGCACACTTCAA